CTAACCTCATCCAAAATAAACAGCACACAAGCACTCGACATGTTTCCGTACTCTGATAGTATGTGTCTTGTAGCCTCTAATTTCTCAGGCTTCAGGGCCAATTTGGACTCCACTTGGTCTAGAATTGCTGGGCCACCTGGGTGTGCAATCCAGAATAGGGAGTTCCAATCCGAGATGCCCAAAGGTTGGAAGGCCTCGTTCAGACTCTTCTCAATGTTCTTCGAAATAAGCCCGGGAACATCCTTGAGCAGATGAAATGTAAGCCCAACTTCACGGAGATGACCGTCGATGGCTCCATCGCTGTCGGGAAGGATGGTTTGGGATGCTGACACCACTTCAAATAGGGGCTTCTCGATCTCGGGAATTGGGTCTGCACCCACAATAATAGCTGCTGCACCGTCACCAAATAAAGCCTGGCCCACTAGACTGTCAAGGTGAGTGTCACTGGGCCCACGGAAGGTGACGGCGGTGATCTCCGAGCACACAACGAGAACACGAGCACCTCTGTTGTTCTCAGCCAAATCCTTGGCCAACCGGAGCACTGTGCCGCCGGCGAAACACCCTTGCTGGTACATCATGAGGCGCTTGACGGAGGGGCGGAGGCCCAAGAGCTTAGTGAGCTGATAGTCGGCTCCAGGCATGTCCACACCACTGGTGGTGCAAAAGACCAAATGGGTAATTTTGGACTTGGGCTGGCCCCATTCCTTAATGGCCTTGGTGGCAGCTTCTTTGCCGAGTTTTGGAATTTCAACGACCACCATGTCCTGCCTGGCATCAAGGGAAGGTGCCATGTACTCACACATACTTGGGTTCTCTTTTAGAATTTCTTCGGTCAAATACATGTAACGCTTCTTAATCATAGATTTGTCACCTGAAAAAAGCATAAACAGAAAAGTTACGCTTGTGTTTGAGGATTGAGCATGACTATGATTTATAATTAATTTAAAATCCTTTTCCAATTACTATATACGTTCATCATGCCAGAAAATACTTCAATTTCATTAAAAAAAGTATATATGACTACTGCAGAGTATGATGTGAAATTAAAACAACTCACTATCACAACTATTAACTGGAAAATAATAATTGTCACATTTGTTTTGTTTGTATTCAAATTCTTGTAAAAAAATATCTTGAAATGTTTTTTCTATTATTGAATTTCACTACATTTTTATCTCACTGAATTCCCATTTTGTAATTTTTTTTATTTTTTGGGGTGAGATGGGGCCAAGAAGATCAGAACGAAAAAGACTAAACAAATACTACTCCAGGCCTAGCCAGACTGCAAACATCACAGATATATATATATATATATATCTCAGTCCAAAATAAATAAATAAAATGAAAAATTATCAAACACCTTGCTGATATACATGATATCCTTTTTTCTGGAATTAAACAAGGAATTGCCTACGGATCATGTTCAAAGAAAAATAAGAAGAAAAAAAAGGAGAAGATATTGCTACTTACACATGCGCTGGAATTTTTCCTTGAGCTCAGCCTTGTGCTCACTGTTGGTAATAC